CAGTTTTAAAACTGTGTTTAGTGTTCGTTTTTTGAACACTGTTATTTTAAGAAAATAGTGTGAGGAAAATTTCAGCAATTATGGATAGAAAGAAGAAACTGTCAAACTATTATTGTTCAGTTCAAGGTTGCTCTTCATGGTCCAAGAAAAATCCAGAATTAAGTTTTCATCAAACCATTGAAGAAATTTTCAAAATATTATTGCCCATAGATAATACTCCCTGAATTTCATGAGGGTTGTTAGTAAGTAAGGGCACTAGTCTGCAGACATAATATAAATTTCTAAATTTAAATTAACTTGTTGCAAATGCTGTTAAATTTCGTTAAAATTTTTAATTATTACTACCCGTCTTTTAAATTACAAAATATCTTCGAAACGTCAGCAAAATGTTTGTCTTTGTTCATAAAAAGTCATTATTCTTGAAAACGGTTGACTTTAGAGCAATAAACCATCTTATTTTGTGTAAAATTCATTGGTGCTTTAGAATTTGCTATCAAATGTTAATTTTTCCAGTGGCATAATAATTAGGAGGGGAAAACCCTTAGGATACCTTAAAATCTCCACCACTGGCACATCCAATGAATTCGAGAAGGGTTCGAAAAATTAGCTATTAATAGTGGTAATGTGTGTACAAAAGCTCAGTCCTGTAGTTCAAACGATTCCTAAGATATTGGCGAAAAACTAAAAAAAAAATTAAAGTTTTGACACCGTGTATCTCGAAAACGAAAGCCCGGAGAGAAAAATGGAAGAGGAAATTAATGTTTCTTTTTTCAAGAGGAATTTACAGTTTTCCGTTGCGACACTTATTTAGGAACACCCTGTATAAGCCAGTCTAGGTGGTCTGTGTTTGACCCCTTCTCAAGTAATACGCCTACGGAATCTTGTCCCCTGCACCCCTCACCATCCTTACTCGTCGAAGTGCCGAATATAAATCACTTCCCATTATTAGTAGGTTCCGTCCGATTTTCTAACCTAAATTACGAAATACGTCAAATAGCAATTAGTAGGTCTCTTCCGCGTTTCTAACCTCAAATATCGCCTAGTAGGTCAGTTTTTCCTAGGCGTACGTACGTTCGAAAGATTCCGTGCCGAGTAGTACTTTAGACGGAAGCGACGTGACGGAAATAAAAGCAGAAACACATTAAATGCAGTTTATTTTCTTCCANAGGTCTCTCCCGCGTTTCTAACCTCAAATATCGCCTAGTAGGTCAGTTTTTCCTAGGCGTACGTACGTTCGAAAGATTCCGTGCCGAGTAGTACTTTAGACGGAAGCGACGTGACGGAAATAAAAGCAGAAACACATTAAATGCAGTTTATTTTCTTCCATAATAATAATGTAAATATTTTACACGTTAGCAAAATGTTTGCTTTTATTCACAAAAAGTCATTTTTCTTGAAAACGGTCGACTTTAGAGCAATGAACCAAGAGTACTCTTAATGTGTAAAATTCATTGGCGCTTTAGAATTTGCTGTCAAAAGTCAATTTTTCCAGTGGCGTAAAATTTAGGGGGGAAAAACCCTTAGGATACCTTAAAATCTCCACCACTGGCACGTCCAATGAATTTGAGAATGGTGCGAAAAAGTAGCTATTAATAGTGGTAATGTGTGTACAAAAGCTCAGTCCTGTAGTTCAAACGATTCCTAAGATATTGTCGAAAAACTAAAAAAAAATTAAAGTTTTGTGTATCTCGAAAATGAAAGCCCGGAGAGAAAAATGGAAGAGGAAAAATATGTTTCTCTTTGCAAGAGGAATTTACAGTTTTCCGTTGCGACACTTATTTAGGAATACCCTGTATAAGCCAGTCTAGGTGGTCTGTGTTTGACCCCTTCTCAAGTAATACGCCTACGGAATCTTGTCCCCTGCACCCCTCACCACCCTTACTCGTCGAAGTGTTGAATATAAATCATTTCCCATTATTAATAGTAGGTTCCCTCCGATTTCCTAACCTAAATTACGAAATACGTCAAATAGCAATTAGTAGGTCTCTCCCGCTTTTCTAACCTCAAATATCGCCTAGTAGGTCAGTTTTTCCTAGGCGTACGTACGTTCGAAAGATTCCGTGCCGAGTAGTACTTTAGACGGAAGCGACGTGACGGAAATAAAAGCAGGAACACATTAAATGCAGTTTATTTTCTTCCATAATAATAATAATAATAATGTAAATATTTTACAGGTTTACTGGTAAGTATGAAAAGATGGATATGATAGGCATATGAAAATTAGTAGGAAGTACTCATTTTCACATACGTACACACAAAAATCAGTCAGCTATAGAGATTCGGTACCTCACTGAAGAAACAAAAGCATCGTTACATCTTCAGATAATACTGATAATGTTAAATAAATGATGTGTGCTCTCTATATATCACATGTACAATGGACATGAACAGACCATCCACGATACAAGTTGGAATTATATACAAACACAGCTAAAATTCATTATAGCCGAAAAATAAAATAAATTGCACAATTATAAAACTGTTTTATGTTTATTCACGATGAAGACAGGTTTTCAAACAAAATTTTCAGAAGCTCGTTTACACTAGTAAATTATATAAAAATAACAATTAGGCTCTTAATTAAACCTACCAAACTAACATTTTTTGTACACTTCCACTGAATAATTTACACGGTTTCTGTTATTCGCGCACGTCACCGCTCACCGGGCGTCCCCCTGCCACTAGTCACTTTTGCGTACAGGTCACCTGTGTGTCGAACCGTCGTTCATGTCGTACAGCACTTGCGCTATCGTCCTAGAGGATTCCACGTTGCTCAGGGCCACGTTCGCTAGGTGGGACTCGTACGATTTTAAGTACCTGCAAAACTCACCGTTACCACAAAAAAACAAAGAGTGACCACAAAAATCGCCCGTTTTTTGACAATTCGCAGGGAACTAAAGAAAATAGATAAAAATATGTTTTCGGTCTCAAATTACTCTTCGTAAAAAAAATAAGATGAGCATATGTTTTAGTTTTTTGAAAATTTTCAAAAATCACCCCTATTGAGGGGTTGAAAAGACGCACAGTGGGAAATATTGGACAAAATTCTCGCCACTCGTCAATTTTCTCTCTCTCGTCGTGATTTTGTTTTTAATAAACTCGTGGTAATCTGAATTTTCATATTCTGGCGAGATTTTTTCTAAAAACCTTTTTTTTTAATGCTTAGAGAGCGCCTAAACCTCAATGTTGAAGGAAAAATTTTTAAACTCGATGTTCAGTTGTAAAAAAAAATGTTTAAAAAGTAGCTGCTATTAATAAAATTGATTATTATGACCCTTGATGATATATCTGTTTTTTCTTCAAAAAACTAACCTCAAAATTATTAATTCTAACCTAAAAGCCTTAAACGAAATTTACATTGGAAAAAAAGTTTTTTTCCAATATAAATTTCGTGAACATCGAGAATTTAAAAATTTTTCTTCGACATTGAGGTTGGGGCACTCCCTAAGCATTAAAAAAAAAAGGTTTTTGAAAAAAAACTCACCGGAATATGAAAATTCAGATTACGAGATTATTAAAAAAAAAATCATGACGAGACGATGAAAATTGGCGAGTGGCGAGAATTTTGTTCAATATTTCCCACTGTGAGACGCCCAAAATGAATAACTGAATATTACCAATAAATATAAAAACTATTAGCATGTGAATTTTTCTATCGAATGTTCTTGATACAAAGAAAGATTTATTCTCATGACTGAAATAAGCATGTTGAATTAGAAAATCCACCCTTAATAGCACTCAGGGGGTGGAATCGTCCCCAAAAATAGAAAATATCAGAAATAATTGTAAAAATTCCAAAAAATATATATTAAGATAATACAGGGCTAGGAAAATATGGATTAACTATTCATAGTAAGTTTCAAGAAAAAACTACCCCTAAATGAGGGTTGAAGCGTCCCCATTCTGAAAAAAATACAACAATATTCATTCTTTTAATTTAACTGTAGAATAAATCAAATTAAAATTTCTTCATTTTTGGCATTTTTTCCACCCCTAAGCAGGGGTGATTTTTAAAATTTTCAAAACTCATTTCAGTTTTTTACGACAAGTAATTTGAGACCAAAAACATATTTTTATGAATTTTTTTTTAATTCTCTACGAATTGTGAAAAAACGGGCAAAAATAACAGGTTTCTTGCAGTCACTCTTCCTCAATAACGTTTTCCGTTGCCGTTCCCATCTAGAAAATGTACCAACGCTATTTTATTTGTTGTACCCGTTGATAGACGAGAATGGCAAAGGGAAAAGTTTAAAAATCGCCCTTAAGAGAGCTCTACAGCAAATAGGCAACCAACAACACATTTTTATCGTTTTTGTTAAACACTCCGTCTAAGTATGAATTAATGCACAAATAACCGACTTTCCTCCATTCTAACGCAGATTTTCTATAAAATGGACTTGGTTTGAAACTCAAATTACTTTTTGTTGTAAAGAAATTTGTAATTTGCCGACAAGCGACATCGTAAATTACAAATTTCTTTACAACAAAAAGTAATTTGAGTTTCAAACCAAGTCCATTTTATAGAAAATCTGCGTTAGAATGGAGGAAAGTCGGTTATTTGTGCATTAATTCATATTTAGACAAATTGTGTAACAAAAACTATAAAAACTCCTTATTTTCCAATGTTCTTGTAAAATTTAACTAGCAATTTTCTCATTACCGTCACTTAAGCATTGATACTGGCCACTTAAAGAAATTTAATTTGTTTGGTTCGCAGGATTCTGCGATGGCTGTCGATGGCAACCAGCCGAGATTATTCAATTTACAAAAATGTTTCATTAGAGCTATCCTTTAAAATTTATAAAAGTATGAAACAATTTTGCTTCTAAAGACGCACAGTGGGAAATATTGGACAAAATTCTCGCCACTCGCCAATTTTCATCGTCTTGTCGTGATTTTTTTTTAATAATCTCGTATTCTGAATTTTCATAATCCGGTGAGGTTTTTTCAAAAAAACCTTTTTTTTTGTTTTATTTTAATGCTTAGGGAGCGCCCCAACCTCAATGTCGAAGAAAAAATTTTTTAAATACTCGAAGTTCAGTTGTAGAAAAAAATGTTTAAAAAGTATCTACTATTAATAAAATTGATTATGACTCTTGATGCCATATCTGATGTTTTTTTTTCTTCAAAAACCTAACCTCAAAATTATTAATTCTAACCTAAAAGCCTTAAACGAAATTTACATTGGAAAAAAAGTTTTTAAATTTCGTGATCATCAAGTATTTAAAAATTTTTTCTTCAACATTGAGGTTGGGGCACTCCCTAAGCATTAAAAAAATAAAAAGGTTCTTTGAAAAAACCTCACCGGAATATGAAAATTCAGATTACGAGATTATTAAAAAAAAAAATCACGACGAGACGATGAAAATTGGCGTGTGGCGAGAATTTTGTACAATATTTACCACTGTGAGGCGCCCAAAATGAATAATTGAATATTACCAATAAATATAAAAACTATTCTCGATACAAAGAAAGATTTATTCTCATGACTGAAATAAGCACGTTGAATTAGAAAATCCAGCCTTAAGCACGCTCAGGGGGTGGAATCATCCCCAAAAATAGAGAATATCAGAAATAATTGTAAAAATTCCAAAAAAATATATATTACGATAATTCACATGCTAATAGTTTTTATATTAATTGATAATATTCAAATTCTTCATTTTTGGCATTTTTCCAACCCCTAAGTAGGGGTGATTTTTTAAATTTTCAAAATACTAAAAGCTGTGCTCATTTCAGTTTTTTTACAAGTAATTTGCGACCAAAAACATATTTTTATGTATTTTTTTAAATTCTCTGCGAATTGTTAAAAAACTGACGAAAATCACAGGTTTTTTGTAGTCACTCTTTCTCAATAATGTTTTCCGTTGCCGTTCCCATCTAGAAAATGTACCAACACTATTTTATTTGCTGTATGTACCCTTTGATGGACGGGAATGGCAAAGGAAAAAGTTTAAAAATCGCCATTAAGAGAGCTCTACAGCAAATAGGCAACCAACAACACATTTTTTTGTTTTTGTTACATAGTTCGTCTAAATATGAATTAATGCACGAATAACGAGACTTTCCTCCATTCTAACGCAGATTTTCTATAAAATGGACTTGGTTTGAAACTCAAATTACTTTTTGTTGTAAAGAAATTTGTAATTTGCCGACAAGCGACATCGTAAATTACAAATTTCTTTACAACAAAAAGTAATTTGAGTTTCAAACCGAGTCCATTTCATAGAAAATCTGCGTTAGAATGGAGGAAAGTCGGTTATTTGTGCATTAATTTATATTTAGACAAATTGTGTAACAAAAACTGTAAAATCGCCTTATTTTCCGATGTTCTTGTAAAATTCAACTAGAAATTTAATTTGTTTGGTTCGCAGGATTCTGCAGTGGCTGTCGATGGCAACCAGCCGATATTATTCAATTTTCAAAAATGTTTCATTAGAGCTATCCTTTAAAATTTATAAAAGTATGAAACAATTTTGCTTCTAAAGACGCACAGCGGGAAATATTGGACAAAATTCTCACCACTCGCCAACTTTCATCGTCATCGGTTTTTTCGAAAAACCCTTTTTTTTTGTTTTTTTAATGCTTAGGGAGCGCCCCAACCTAAACGTCGAAGAAAAAATTTTTAAATATTCGGATTTCAGTTGTAAAAAAAATGTTTAAATAGTATCTGCTATTAATAAAATTGATTATATATTTTGAGGTAAGGTTTTTGAAGAAAAAACAGATATATCATCAAAGGGTCGTAATAAAGGGTGCTCCCTAAGCATTAAAAAAAAAGGTTTTTTTGAAAAAACCTCACCGGAATATGAAAATTCAGATTACGAGATTATTAAAAAAAAAAATCACGATGAGACGATGAAAATTGGCGAGTGGCGAGAATTTTGTCCAATATTTCCCACTGTGAGAAAAAAGAAATCTTTTCTTACAGCTGCCATACTGGGTATTTTTATTTTATGCCCTAATATTTACGTTCATTTTGAATAATTCCAATTTTTTTGACAGAAGGAACGAGACAATTAGAAATTTATTTTTAAATATTTAATTCCCAAGAGCTGTGAATTAATATTGTGTTATTAGATTTTGAATTAAAAAAAAATTATATTAACGACTCAAAACTTTCTCTTGGGATGCGCAATTTTTAAGGAAATATGACATAAATAATATGTGACATAAATTGTGACACCCTGTATAAGCATGTCTGATGAAAAATCAACTGAAAAAATATTTTTTTTGACTTCATTTCTTTTTTTTTGTACCTAAATTATTACCTTTTGCAATGACTACTGTAGATTACGAGATTCCTCAGTATTAGAGACGCTGTCAAACGAATACTTTTCGTAACGGGACCCTCATTGTCATCCTGAAACGAGAGGTAGTCAGTAAATTATTCCAGAACATGTACGTAAAAAATAAAAAAAAACATGTCAATAACAACAAAAATCGGTATAATTTTCTGTAAAAAATAAAAAGAAAACACTTCATAAGGTAACGTAAGGGAAGTTTATGGATAATTTTCAAAAAAAAAAAAACATTTAATTTTTGAGGTTAGGATTTGCGGGTTCTTAAAGTTTGGAGAACTGTGCTGCCTCAAATAAGAATAAGAAGCGTAAAAGCCGAAGTCCAAGGGTGCAACATAACAAACACATTACAATGCAACTAAATTATCTCCTCGAAGAGAAAAAACACAAAACAAAACTATTAAAAACAGTGGTAAAAAAAAATCTCAGTAATAACCGTCACAAACAGTTACACAAACAATGCAATTCACTCGTTAAAAGCGGACGCCTCACCTGATCAGTCGGAGGTGGGGGTCCAACACGGGGCGCAGCTGTCGACGCACCGGTAGTGCCCGGTTTCGGGGGTTTCAGCTTGATAAATTAGACACAATTAGAACTGTTAAAGCCAATAGGAATCGCAAACATGTTCAATACCAATTTTTGAAAATTTTTCTCTGCTACTACAACGGTTTTCAAATTTATTTCGTTTACACATTTAATATTTTTCAAGTTGGTAATGGACGGAAAATTTCACAAATACCACTGTAGATCGTAATTTAATTTTTAAGAAAGATCTCCATCATTATAAACGTACAAGGTCTTGATGCAAAAGTGTAACGACAGCAACTTGTACTTCTCAAGAATATTGCAGCATAATAAATTACAATATGGTGCTGCACTGGGAAATATATAATCCAGATCCAAAATAGGAGGCAGTGTAACATTCTCAATATATATTCAGAGCGATGGGTAAGGCATATAGGGAATACAAAATTTATTAAATATAGTACAATATACAGGGTGTTTCATAATGATGTGCAAATATTTTAAGGATGTGTTTAGAGAGTATTTTTAGGGGGGGTACTTCCAATATATTTTTTCGATTTGAGCCACCCCTGAGGGTTCCAATCTCAAAATGGCCGAAAAAATAAGCCTTTATTATTTTTCGGGAAAACAGTTAAACTTAGAAATTTGAATTTTGGTACACGTTAACAACTAATTGAATGATATCTTTTAGTAGTTTTTTTTCTGGTTTATGTCTTTGAATTAAGGACTCTACAGCAAATAGGCAACCAGCAATACATTTTATATTTTCTTACACGTTTTGTCTAAATATGAATTAATGCACAAATAACAGACTTTCCCCCATTTTAACATAGTTTTTCTATAAAATAAAGTTAGTTTGAAACTCAAATTGCTCTTTGTTGTAAAGAAATTTGTAATTTACGATGTTCAAAAACGGCAAACTACAAGTTTCTATACAACAAAAAGTAATTTGAGTTTCAAACTAATTCCATTTTATAGAAAAACTGCGTTAAAATGGGGGAAAGTCTGTTATTTGTGTATTAATTCATATTTAGACACAAACTGTGTAAGAAAATCTATATCTATTATTTATCTCAGAACATTTTTCTATGTTAGCTAATACCAACAAAAAAATACCTTTTAATACTACATTTAATTTAGAAACTTTTTTCACTCTTCTCATTTTTTTGGTATACTTGATAGTTTACGAGCAAAAAAATTAATTATTTTTCCCTGCATTCGCATACTACGTTTTTAGTAACCGTTATACTAATGACGTGTAATGAAAAATTAATTTAATTTTTTGCTTGTAAACTATTAAGTATACGAAAATGTACTATTAAAAGATATATTTCTTGTTGAAATTAGCTAACGTAGAAAAATTTTCAGAGAGAAATAATAGATATGGATTTTCTTACACAGTTTGTCTAAATTTGAATTAATGCACAAATAACAGACCTTCCTCCATTCTAACGCAGATTTTCTATAAAATGGAGTTAGTTTGAAATTCGAATGACTTTTTGGTGTAAAGAAATTTGTAATTTACGATGTTCAAAGGCGGCAAATTATAAATTTCTTTACAACAAAAAGTAATTGGAGTTTCAAACTAACTCCATTTTATAGAAAATCTGCGTTAGAATGGGGGAAAGTCAGTTATTTGTGCATTAATTCATATTTAGACAAACCGTGTAAGAAAATCCATATCTATTATTTCTCTGAGAACATTTTTCTGCGTTAGCTAATTCCAACAGGAAAAATACCTTTTAATACTACATATCATTTAGAAACTTTTTTACTTTTCTCATTTTTTTCATAAACTTGATAGTTTATGAGCAAAAAAATAAATTATTTTTCCTTATATTCGCATACTACGTTTTTAGTAAGTAGTAGTACTAATTACATGTAATCGGCATGGAAAAATAATTTAATTTTTTGCTCGTAAACTAGTAAGTATACGAAAAAATGAGAGTGAAACAAGTTTCTAAACGAAATGTAGTATTAAAAGGTATTTTTCTTGTTGGAATTAACTAACATAGAAAAATTTTCTGAGAGAAATAATAGTTATAGATTTTCTTACACAGTTTGTCTAAATATGAACTAATGCACAAATAACAGACCTTCCTCTATTCTAACGCAGATTTTCTATAAAATGGAGTTAGTTTGAAATTCGAATGACTTTTTGGTGTAAAGAAATTTGTAATTTACGATGTTCAAAGGCGGCAAATTACAAATTTCTTTACAACAAAAAGTAATTCGAGTTTCAAACTAACTCCATTGTATAGAAAATATGCGTTAGAATGGAGGAAAGTCTGTTATTTGTGCATTTAATTCATATTTAGACAAATTGCGTAATCAAATCTATAAAATTGTATCGCTGGTTGCCTAGTTGCTATGGAGCCTTCTTATTTCAAAGATAACGAGCGTTCAAATAAAAACGTGGTCGAAGTTGCCTCTGACACATTGGACGTAGGGCGTAGCTTATAGCGACCAACTTAACCTCATTTCTCAACGAGCTGTATAGCAGCTGTCAGTTTCAATAACAAAGCAGCGATATAGCGCTTTGACAGATGACGTTTAAGTTCATTTGCTATACGCTACGCCCTACGTCCAAATTTTCAGAACCAACTTGACCACGTTTTTATTTGAACGCTCGTTATAAACCAGAAAATAAAAAGTACCAAAAATATCATTCGATTAGTTGTTAACGTGTACAAAAATTGAATTTTCTAAGTCTAACCGTTGCCGCGAAAAAAATAAAACCTAATTTTTCCGGCCATTTTGAGATGTGAATATTTCCTCAGGGGGGGGCTCAAATTGAAAAAATGTATTGAGAAAGTACCCCCCTAAAATTACTTTCTAAACCAGGGTTCATAGTTTAAAAGTAATAAAGAATTCCCTGATTTTTCCAGGTTTTCCCCGACTTATAAAAAAAAATCCAGGTAGTTAATTTTTACACACTAATTGGTGTTTATGCATAAAATTTTTTCTCGACTGGACTCCATGATCTTTTTTATATAAAAAATCACAAAATTACAAATAGTTTTCTGTTTCAAGAACCCAGGGCCGGCTTTCACAAAATTTCCAGTTGCAAACATCAAATTCCCTGACTTTAATGAATATTTTTAAAATTCCCCGACTATTCCCCGTTTTTCATGAAGAATAACGAATTCCCTGACTTTTCCCGGTATTCCCGGCCGCTACGAACCCTGTAAAAACCTTAAAATATTTACACATCATTATGAAACACCCTGTATATAGATACGTAACAAGCAGGTAACTTTTTATTTATAGAACGACCTTCATTTATCCTCGTTTCGTCGAGACAATACTTTTCCGTTTATATTTAAATAAATCGTCGTGTAGTAACGATTTTTCAACGCACACCACCAAATGAAAGCACAAAGTGAAAAAGACAAAGGACATAGTTCCCGACCGACTCCACACATAAAAAAAAAATACATAATCACTTCCTCACCTGCAGCTCCTTGGGGTTGACGAACTCCAGGGCGTGCCGCTTGATGGCGTGCAGGGCGGCGTCGGGGGCGTACCCCGGATGGGGATTGGAAGGGGGCGACTGCGGCGGCTCGATCTTGGCGCTCTGCGCCGCCTGCTTCCGCCTGATCAAACCCTGTTTCATGGCCTGGAAAATGAACCGTTTAAATTTCGTTCGGGTTTAATAATTTCAACAAAGTTTTACCTCGGTGTTGCAGTGTTTGTCGTGCAGGTGCGTCATGAGGGAGAAACGTTTCCTCTTCATGTTGTCGCACCTGTCCCACTGGCAGGTTATCTCCTCGCTGCCCGTCGGACAGTGGGAGGCGCACACGTGGAGGTACACCTCGTTCGCGGATTTGAACTTAGTCTCTCTGAAATCGTAGGGAAGTTAAAAAATTCAGTTGCAAGTCAAAAAAAAAATACAAACAATTTTTGATACTATTAAAAAAAAAAAGAAAAATCTGAAATCGTAGGGAAGTTAAAAAATTCTGTTGCAAGTCAAAAAAAAGAAATACAATTTTTGATACTATTAAAAAAAAAAGAAAAATCTGAAATCGTAGGGAAGTTAAAAAATTCTGTTGCGTCAAAAAAAAAATACAAACAATTTTTGATACCATTAAAAAAAAAAAGAAAAATCTCTGAAATCGTAGGGAAGTTAAAAAATTCAGTTGCGTCAAAAAAAAATACAAACAATTTTTGATACTATTAAAAAAAAAAAAGAAAAATCTCTGAAATCGTAGGGAAGTTAAAAAATTCAGTTGCAAGTCAAAAAAAAAAAAATACAATTTTTGATGCTATTAAAAAAAAAGAAAAATCTCTGAAATCGTACGGAAGTTAAAAAATTCAGTTGCAAGTCAAAAAACAAAAATACAAACAAATTTTGATACTATTAAAAAAAAAAAAAGAAAAATTGAAGTAACGCTTCTTGGAAACTTACATGTTACATTCGCCCCATTCGCACACATAGGGCGTAGTCAAGTCCCTAATAATTTTAGGCTTCTTGGGCTCCTCGGGCTTCTTCTCAGTCACGCCGTTGGAGGTTGTACTCGTGGTGGTCTGGGCGACGCTAGTACCCGCCACCGACTTGATCACCTTGGGGGCGGTCAGGACGTTGTTAGTCACGGACGAGGTGTGCATTATGGGCCGCGGCACCTGAGTGACGACCACCTGCTGCCCCTGAGGGGCGACGACGACCTTCTGGTGGTGGGTGGCCGAGCTGTTCGCCGGCTGCTGCTGCAGGATGATTATAGTTTTGGTGCCCGTCCCCTGCTGCTGGGACGTCTGGGCTACGAGGACCGTCTGAGGCTGCCCGTGCACAACCGCCGTCTGCGGCTGGGCCACCATGTAAGTACCTGGGGCGCCGCTCGTCTGCAACACGTACTGGCCCGCCTGCGAGCTGGCCACTATCTGCATCTGGCCCTGGAGGCCCTGCGAGAGCAGGAACTGGCTGGTGTTGGCCTGCTGCAGCATCACCGGCCTCTGGTGGCCGCCGGTGTTCTGGACGATGACCGTTTGGCCCGTCTGGGTTTTCAGTTGAGTGCCTGGGATAAAATCAAATTTTTAACACTTCTAAGTTAAAAAAATTGTACATAATTATAATTGTTTTGATAATTCAAGACTTTTTTGAAAACAAAACCTTAAATGACGAAAAAATTAAACAGTTGTTAAAGCACTGTGTTTAGTCTACGACTCTATTCACCTGATGAGACATGACAAGACGCAAGAAAAAAGTTTTTGCAACAGAATTTCAATTCACAATTCAGAAACAGACAATTTCAGACTCTCACCTGCAGAAATGACCATCTGGTTGGACTGTTGCATCTGCGGCTGGGACACTATAATCTGCCTGGGTTGAGCCAAAAGCACCTGCTGGTTGTTATCCACGATGATCTGCTGCAAGGGCGGCTGCGCCGAAATGGGAACGGGTGACTCTATGATCTGCGTGGGGGCTTGCACCTCCTGCATCAGTTGTTCCTCGTCTTCATCCTCCAGAATGTCCGCCGCCATATCGGCGAACAATTTAGCTGCGGCCGTGGATACTGTGGCGGGTGCCTCGTCGCCGTTTGAACTACTAGAAACTGATTCGGGAGCGGGGGAGTCCGCCATCGAGGAACCGTTTATATTGTTCGCCGTCAGCATCAACTTCTTAGGTTCGCTTTCGACTATCTCTTCCGTGGCGGGCCGCTTCAGGCTCAAACACATCTTCTCCGAGGTTTCTTCTATTTCAATTTCTTGCTTGATTTCCGTCTTGATTTCCACCTCCTCGTATTTATCGGGGTCGTTGTCCCTACTTAGCAGCGCCTTCTCGATGTGGTTCTCCACCAGGTCCAACGTTTTCTCTCCCAGTCTTAAGTCTTTCCCCAGCACCCCGTTCAGCATGGGCGGGCTCTTTTCGAATTTTTTCTCTAAAAGATCGGCTAACCTAAGCGGCTTATTCATAGGTATCTCACTACTAACGATTTTTACAGAATCTTTGGAATTGCTATCTTCGTTAAGGGGATTCTCCATGTTCGGGATCCCGTTCAACAGTCCTTCGAAGCTAGTAAGAGAGTTGTCGCCCTCCTCCGTCGAAGATATCCCGCCGATACCCACGGTACCCAACCCCGAGCTGGACGCCAGGGAATTGTTGCCGATGGAATCGCTGTCTTCGTTATCGATCCGCTGCGACTTCCCCTTGACATTGTTGCTCAGGGGGGCTAAAGGGGGAGGGGGAGGTTGGGGTGGTTCCTTTTTCCCCTTCATCGAGCTGGCGAATTGGGTGGTCGACGAAATGGAGGGATCTCCGATTTCGCCGTCGGTGAATAGCTGCCTGGCCCCGTTGATTCTGGATATCTTGGGAGTTTCCGACTTGATGGCTGTCTTTTGGTGGTTGTCGGGAGTGCCGTTGCCCTGCTGGGCCAAGAGTCGTTGTTGCTGCTGCCTCGCAGCCACCTGTACGCCAATACCGAGTTATAAGTTACTGATTCCGAGTTTCAAGTAGGTATTGGGTATACTCCTAACCTCAAATTTAAAAACTTCCCATTTTTTAATGTTTTACTTGTCATTATTTTGGTGCGAGTAAAGTTTCAACTGGGAAATAAGTTTGAAGTTAAGTGTTTCGTTTGCATTAAGTAAGAGGACAATGTTAATTTTAGTAATAAAACGGGTGATATCTACAAGAAAATATAAAATGTCTGTGTACTCAGTTTTGTTGTATTAGTTACAACACTAAATTTAGACGTTAAACAATGAAGCTTATTGTTAAGGCGTTAATGAACAACAAATATATTACTTCATGCACGAATCGTAGGAAAAGCGTTGAAGATATCAAAATTTAGGTACTATCAAATTTTTCTGTTTTAACCCAAGTTGAACGAACGAGTTGAATAATTTTTTGTGACGCTTTTAAAATTATACAAAATTAAATCAAATCAATACAACTGTACACAAAATTTCTTTAATATTTTAATTAAAGCTCTTCAATTATTGCAAATAAGCCGGATGCCAAAAGAGTAGTTCAAATGTCCCTCTTTAAAATTTGATTAAATGAACGTTAAAAACATTTCATCATTCGAAGTACTTATAAATAATTATTTTTCTATAGTTTTTAAAATTCTTTAAGATTATTCAGGTGTCCAAGATACTGTAAAACATATTAATCAGGGTTAAATCAAATCAATACAACTGTCTGTAAAATTTCCTAACAATAACCCGGGAAAAACTCGATCATTATTTCAAAGTCAGAAGAGTAGTTCAAATGTCCCTTTATAAAATTTGATTAAATGAACATTAAAAACATTTGATCATTCGAAGTATTTATAATTATTTTTCCGATACTTTTTAAAATTCTTTAAGATTATTCAGGTGTCTAAGATATCTACTGTAAAACATATTAATCGGGGTTAAATCAAATCAATACAACTGTCTGTAAAATTTCCTTAACGATAAACCGGGGAAAAACTCGATCATTATTTCAGTCAGAAGAGTAGTTCAAATGTCTCTTTTTTTTTAATTTTATTATACGAACATAAAAAATATTTCTTCGCCACCTAAATAACTTTGAAATCATTTAAAATCGGATTCATCCGAAAAAAATTAGTTTAAAATTTTATTCCCTCCGTTTCTAAACGTTTCGTCCGGTTCGCCGCGGACCCCACGTTAAAAAAAACCTTACAGACCGTTCGGAATAAGACTAGTGTGGATTAGTATGTTACCTGAGCTACATTTTGGCAGTCTGTTGCAGTCCTCATGCTCACTGTTGACATGCAATCGTTTACCTTAGTCGCCAGAAGGCTTTTGATGAGCGAGGAGCTACTACCCTGACTTGCCTGGCTTTCCTTGCTGGGGCCCGCCGACATCGTGACGGTCGTCGTGGACGTCGTGCCCGTGCTCCCCAAGAGGGCCTGGCTCAGGTGCGGGTGCGCCATCACCTTCGGTTACGAGTTACGGTTAGATGGTTACAATGTACGATTTCTATTGCATAAATTGAAGGGGCGCCATATGTTCAAAGAACTGATAGAACATCAAAAATATATTTCTTGGAAGATGAGTATTGTCTTTGCTGGTTCTTGCCTCTCTCGTAGAGGTCACTCGTAGCAATCTTTTGTCATATTTTAAGGCACAACTTTTTTTTGAGATTAGGTTTTCTGCACTGTAAAAATTTGCATTCGTAATGTGAAAATTGTACTGAAGTCACTTACGTTTTTGCTGAAAATTAAATTCTACACTAGAATGTGAAGCAATGCAGAAAACGTACCATGAAAAAAGTTAAAATGTCGCAGAAAAAGACCACCACCAACGATCTCTACGAGACAATTGAAAACTAACATAAGACATTTTTTGCATCCTCGAAGAGAAGAATTGGCTGAATAAAATTAATAAATGACATAACTTTGTGTAAAAAATTAGAAAATCAATCAAATATTTCTGATATTCCATATTTCAATAAAAGGAAAAGAAAACTGTATTGAACTTTTCTTTTTTTGTTATTATCGATTGTTTTATGTAGATTTTTTTTTAACGATTGTATTCTATCAACCTCTGAATTTATGGCACATTTCTTTGAAATTCCCTTTTTCCAGATTATCCAGAAACTAAAAGTGAAAAATTTTCAAAAATATATAAAGTAACTTTTTCCGAAAACTGAATATTAGAATTACATAACTTCAAAGTTTTTTTTTTTTTAATAATTCTTTTTTCAAACTTGACTTCTAGTTTCCAGACACATACTGTCGAAGTCTTAGAGGCTGCCCAACTGTTGTTTGCCGTTAAAATTATTGCTTACGCGTTTTGCGGACAAAAAAAAAAACAGTTAGGCAGACGGATTATTTAAAAGAGATGACGGAAGACGTGAGGATCGTTTCCAAATATAAATTTTTTTACTAAGAATGCAAAATGAGCTGAAGGATGCTACAGGGTGGTATAAAATTAATGTCTACTCTGTGAAAGGAAAATTAAAGAGAAAAAAAAAAGTGTCTCGCTACCTCCACCAATCAACTTAGGTCAACAAGAGTTTCAGGAGTAGGAGGACGGTGACTTAAAAATAAAATCGTAAATATCGGTTAGTGGAAATATTGCAAAATACTGAAATTTTTTAGTGAAGATTAATCGAGTAAGTTCTACAGGGTGCAACTTCTACCAATAAGAAATTTTTTCAAATTTCGTGTTAAAAACTTCAAAATTCACAGTTAGAGTACTATTTCTAAATGCTGAACTGACGCCCTTCCCTTCATCACCATTTACCGACACTATCTCCCTTCGCATGCATTGTAGGTTGCTCACAATTCATGTATTTGTAAAACATGAATAAACAGTGGCGGCGTACACAAGTATTAAAGTGCATTTTAAAATACTATTTATAACTTGACTATTTGATTAAAAAATAAGAATTTCAGATTCGTATTCTAAAAAACTGACTCCCACTTGAAGTTACACCCTGTGTAATTAGTATTTTTTTTTCAATTTCTTTCATTTAACGATAAAACAGCACACATGCGTTTTTGTTTTAGAAAAAGGCAATTTCAGGAAAAAATTTCAGTATTCAAAGGACTAATTTACATCAAATCGTAGCAGCCAACGGAAACAAAGGTGAAAAACTTGCACTTTACAAAACAAAGGCCAATTTTCCATGTTGGTTTCGCGTTAGTCGCCAACGTCTACGTATTAGTAACAAAAAAGTAGGTAATCAAATTAATGAGGAACGTTGGAAGGGAGGAAAATGAAGTGAAAATTAAGAAGAGACTGAGCCAACACCGAAACTAACTAAAAGCATAGAATCGGAGCGATACAAAAGCAGAGGATGATATGAAAAGTATCCAATCATAAAGAGAAAAGACGGTATATTCTGATTATAAGGAAAAATAAAGTGTAGGTCCTTGGTATCTGTTCTAAACGTTTCCTATGCAGGTTACATCACTTATGACATAATTTTTTTTAAATTATTTTATTTTTATGAAATATTCACGTTATTTTATTTTTTGTTCCAAACATCGTTGAAAAAATTGATAAGCGACTTTTTTATTAAAATTTCTCATGAATTTTAAAAAAATTTTGTACAAACCAAATTTCGTGGAGAGGAGAGGGGAGAGGGGAGGGAGAGAACCCAGTGGCGTAGTCAGATTATAAAACTGTAAATAAAAATTTCGCCAATCAAGTATTTGATGTTTTTTTTTTAATATTTCGAAAATCACATTCTTGTCTAACAGGACAAATAAGGGACGGGCAGAGGGAAGTTTACGGTTCGGGCCCGAGTGAGATAGCCTGCACTTGGAACGTACCGCCTACCGTTACAAAAAAATTCAAAGAAAAAAAAGCCGGGAGATCCCACAAACCAAATGAAAAGTGGTCGACAGGTTCGAGTTTGACAACTTATTACCTGACTTTTCGTATCGCCTTTACTACTGATAGGTGTGACAACGGTCTCCCTGCTCTGCTTAGGGGGAGCACTGAGCTGCGCCTTGAGGATTGGTGAGGCGGGAGAGATTGGCGTGCTGTCGGTGGCGGCGTTATTGTCCGCCACGACGGTCAGGGCCGGCGACTTGACCGGGGAGACAACTAACGATTGGTTTGATTTGCGGCGCACTTGTTGACCTTTGGTGGGTGGCGTGGTGTTGGTTTTGGGATTAGAGGATGATTGGATACTTATTATGAGGGGTTGGGCTCGCACCTTTATGCCTTCGTAGTACTGGCGGTCCGTCGGGTTGGCCGGCTTCATCGGGTTCGGGCCCACCGTCCCGCCAAACACCGACCTGCAAGAAAATTCAACACGCTCATGCCTTACTCCCAAGACTACCGCAACAACTACAGCTAAAATTTCGGTTTTCGGGATCCAAAAAGTGAATTTTTTGTTGTTGTTTTATTTTTAAAATCCTCATCAAATTGCATTTTTGATGTTTTATGTGTCTTTTTCACCACAGAAATTCAAATGTGAAGTTTTTGGTTAAACATTCATTTTTAATTTATTTTGACAGAATTTACATTTCCGCATAGAAATATCAACTTTTAAAAAAATTTTAAGCAATGAAATTTCCCATTTTTTCCATATTTTTTCAGTGTTTCTAAAAATTTATTTATTTTTTTTTTTTAAATAAAATTTAACAAACTAAGGGTTTATTTGATGAGAATTCTAGAATCATTTTTAAAACCAATTCAAATTATCTTAAAATCTTTTAAAGGTAAGTAAGAATTATCAAAATGAAAAAAAATTAATCTCCAACAGAAACAAACAAAAAATTAAAAAAAAATCGAACTTATTCCAATACCTGACACATCTGGGAAAGTGTAACGGCGAAATGACCCCCCGCCTCCCTATCTTCGAGCAGGAACTCATATAATGCTTGTAGAGCTCCTGGTGGTCTACCTTCCCGTCAGAACAGGGCTCGTACGTGGCCCGCAGCCAAGCCAGAGCAAACTGTTCGTTCTCGTGGATAGCCTGCTGATGGGCGTGCTGCTGCTGGATCAGCTGCTGAGGGGTCATCGATGGGGTTGTCGTTTGACTAATGGTTATTGTTGCAGCTAGGGAAATATCAAATATCTTGGAATACACAGTTAATTTTAAGAATCGGGTACCCGCTTGCAGCACCCAGCGTTTACCTTTTACCTACTAATTACCCAATACCTGTTTAGGACTTACAAACCCACTAATTACCCGTTTATGCTCTAATTACTCATTACCCGTTAAAAACTCGCATACTTTTCGATTACCCAAATACCTGTTAACAATTATCGCCTATGTACAGTTTATCGAGTTGAATTATTAAAAAAAAATAACCAAAAACAACCAAAAAAACAAACACTGATAAAATATGTAAAATTGACCTTGATAACATATAACAAACTGAAGATCGTAGCTAATATGTGGTAGGTATCGGGTAAATAACGAGTATCGGGTAATTAATAAGTATCTGGTAATTAACAGGTGTCTGGGAAATTATCGGGTGTGGGGAAATAATGGGGTATCGAATAATTAACAGGTTGTCTGGAAATAATCAGGTATTGGACAATTATCGGGTATAGGGAAATAATCGGGTATTGGGTAATTATCGGGTATTGGGTAATTAACAAGTTGTCTGGAAATTATCGGGTATCGGACACTTATAGGATATAGGGATATAATCAGGTATTGAGTAATTATCGGGTATAGGGAAATAACCGGGTATTGCGTAAATATCGGGTATCAGGTTGTCTAGAAATTATAGGATATCGGGTATCTAGTAATTAAGATGTATAAAAATTTCCCGGAAATTCGCTACAAGAAAAATTTGCTATTTTATCATCACTTACGTGTTGTCGTTGAAGTGGGCGTGAGGGTGATTAGTCTTTGCGGGGCAATTTGTACTGGCCTGACGGGGGTGCTGGGCGTCATCACCTTGGGGACGGGCGTGCTGGTGATGACCGGCGTGCTCAACGACGTGGTGGTTGTGGTGGCGGTGGTGACGGCGGTGGAGGTGGTCGCGACGGTGGTAGACTGCTGCGTCTGGGCCTGGCTCTGGGTCTGGGTGCCGCCGCTGGGCAGTGTTTCCACCAGCTTCATCCCGATGCAGGCCTTCGGGCCGTAGCTCTTACCCTCCACCGTGACGAGGGAGACGAGCGTGTCGATGACGCCGTGGTTGTTCACGATCAGGCTACAGGACCTCTCGCCGAGGGACGATAGCGAATACAAACATTCCAAGGTATAAATTAATAGCATGACGTCGTGTATCGTGAGGAACGAACACACACTTCTGTACACGTGGGACTCTAATGAACGGAGCAGGATGTCCTCGTTCTGCTCGTTTTGGCTTAATTTATTTAATACTTCTAAGGACGAGATGCAGGACGCCCTGTCCTGGCTCTGTAGACCCCTGGTGACGATTTTCAGCAGGTTCGAGACTAACAGGTCGCTCTGCAGGTCTCTAACGATAAACTCCGTGGCGATGTTGCCGAGCATGTCCATCCCGAGGTTCCTCAGGACGTTCCATTGCGACGTGGTACACAACAACAGGAACCTTATGAAAGACGTGTTTTTTACTAGGACCGGTACGTTCTCCTCTATAAAACTGAGGTTCCTTAAAATAGTGGCTATCTGTAATACTCGTTGGCCTACATAGTCTTGAGTTCCTAGCGTACGCCTCAAACAGAATACTTCACTGTCGTCCGGCTGAATGTTCAATTTAAAACTATCACAATCTACGTCTTTGGGTACAGTCTCGGTCACGTCCTCGCACGCGCACTCAACGTCAGGAATTTCGGGCGCACTCTCGAACGGAATTTTTAAACGGTCGTTGTCCACCTCCATGGGTATGTCCTGCAGCGATAGTATCGTACTCGAGGTGATCTCATCTTTGACCGGTTCGCTCTTCGACGGCTCCACCTTGACCCTGACAAATTTATTTTCGTTCGTGAGATCCAAGTATTCCTGCGATTCGAGTACGTCCTTCCAGAAGTTGTGGATCGGTTTCTTCCTTATGTCATTGTAAAAGTGCACAAACAGTTGTCTCAGAGAGCCTGCAAGCAAGTCGGTCAACTATACCGAGAGTGTCAAAAAAATAGGCCGTAGGGCGAATGGAATAGGGTTTTGCCATTTTCCTTTGGCCACTTTTTCCAAAAAAATCTAATTCTGTCCTTGTTGTTCTCAGGCTAGCCTCTGTGGGGGTTCTGATAGCGAGTTCTGTCCCACAGAGCTTAGTCCGAGAACAACAATGTGTCAGGAGATTCACCAGACATAAATCAGCTTCAAACTTATTACTTTTCATCGGCATCACGAAATATGATTTATAAATAACATTAATAAATAACGATATTGTGGGAAGCAAACAATTAGAAATGATTTTGGACATTTACTAGATCTTTGTGATGTCACTCAATGATGTACAGGGCATATAACCCCACAGAGCAATTGTTTCCTGCAATATTATCACATAAAAAGTTTATTTTGCCCCTTGCGACACTAGTCATGCTTTTATAACACCTACAGATTAGTAGGTCGCTCTGTGTCAGTAGGCATTGAGGAACAATTACATTTAAGATATGGCATAGATATGGTTATATCTCACTCATATTCAATCTCTCTCATTAATAAAGACTAAATGTGACTCTCTTGAGGTGGTAGACATATTAAATATTTAATTTAAAATATTGCTGTACATTTACATTATTTTTTTAATTCTAATACTGAAATGAAGGTTAAAACATCGATTTTAAATTGATTCAATTACTAGAATTAGAAGTTTAACAAAAACTCTTGCTAAAGTCGATATTTCAAAGTACACAATTTTTTTTTTAATGTCAAACGTCAAGTATAACTGAAATAAAAAAAATCATCGCATAAGTATCCACAGAAGTTGTAAAAAATCAAAATTTTACAAGAATATAAGAAATCTAGAGAAAAATAAGCTCAATAATCAATCAATCAATAACAGTCATACTTTCTAATCAAAGGCACATGTAGGAAAAAGTTAGGGAAGTCATTGGTCTACAACTCCTTTCCCTTCTGTTCTGTCTCAATCTTTTTTTTTTGTGTCTAATTTGTCTAAAATTCAAGTAAATGTGGCCTAGAATCAGTTTAGTTGTTGAGACAGGCTACTATCCCTCAACAAATGCTTTCTATCATAAGTTAATTTGCTTATACGCTGAAATGAAAAATGGCATAAGGAAGAGTCCCATTACTTTCGCCCAAACAAACCCTGGACCTTTTCGTAACACCCTGTATATGTTTAAAATAGAAATATGGCACCTACAGAACCGTATCCGCGCGTTGAACGGATTGAAAGCGTGCACTACTTACTGTGATCAAAAATACCGGCGTGACCCAACAGATAGTTGATTATCCTAGGGTGCTTTTCTAGCTTCAAGGTGTGCTTCCCGTCGTTCGAAAGGAGCGTGCACACGTTGATGGCGAAGTCTTGTTCATTTGGTAATGGTGATATCAACGACAGCGCTAGGCGGTCGTAGTCAGAAGGCTTGTATAAGTCGGTTGATAAGTGATTGTATTCCCTGTTGGTTTCTGTAACAAAAAAAAAAAAGGTGGGCGATATTAAGGAGCGTCAAAGTTTATTTAATAAAAAAACGAACATATTTTTGAGCGCTGTTAAATTCTTTTCTTTTATATTTAATGCATTTTTATAAAGTAAAGTGTTCAGTCAAAGAGAGTTTTTAAAAATAGCATAGAACGAAGACATTTTTGGCAATTCCGTCGCGTGTGTCTCGACGTCGATTTCGCTTCATGATCTGAAATAACATCTAAAAACGAGCCGGCATATGATATATAAATACTTTGTATTCGTTAAGTAAACAAGCTAATAGAGTTTATTCTCGGAAAATAACTTTGGAGCCGAATCGTACTGCAAGCAATTCGATTCAGCACGTCTGGTTGTTTCATTACTTTATTTCGCGCCATGGTTATGAACTGCAAGAGATGTGCGGGAGCTAGCGACGCCGACATCGCCACAACAACAGTCCGGATAAAAAAATATGCGCATCTTTTTCCCTCACTGAACAAAGTATCGTGTTTTGTTTTACAAATATCACTGTATTTTGGGAGCCTAATAAATCTGATATTAAACTGCACGAATTAATTAGATTCGTCCGTGTCTGTGTCTGTGCGGTAAACCACCTTAGCTGACGTCACGGTTCAGAGTTGCGGTCTTGGTGTATAGGTGGTGTTGGTCTAACGCATTTTGAGCAGTCTCATATATGCGAGTATTTCAGAGAGAGAGCTGAGTGAAAGTTGCAACTGCAGGAAGTCTCGTACAATAATTACTGTATGCAGAGGAAAAATATAACAAGTATATATTATGCGTATATTAAGTAATTTGTAATTTTTAAATGGGAAATTTCAACAAACAAGTTACAAATAAAATATTTCATAAATAAGTATCAAGAAATTGATACTGGTAGGTACCTATAGCAAAAGTTGTTCCTGAAATGTTTAATTTTCAACGGCCTTTCGAATGAATAAAGGTAAAATATACACAGAAACAAGTTATTGTTCGTAGAATTATGTGCCATTCGCTTTAAAATTCAATACTTCTCTATAAATACGATAGCCAGCTTGCATATTAATTTTATCGGGATATTTTTACCGAACAAGAATTGTTTAAACGGGTATATTTATAGATTATTTATTTATCATATGCATGTTTTAGCTGTTGCCAACTTACAATGCACATTCTAAACGGATATTTTTTTAACCCGGCGACTTGGAATATCAGCATAACGACTAGCTTTATTTGCATTCTCTACATGTCGCAAATCTGCGAGAAAGTCTAGCTTCGAAGCCAGCAAATAAAACTAAATTCAAGTTAATCAGTTTTACAAGCATTTTTAGTAAGTAGCAATTTTCAAAATATATATATCTAGCAGAAGGAGAAATAAATTGAACGTGTACGGGTTCCTTTAAATTGCAAATTTTAATAGAACCGTTGAAATTATCAAGGTGGCCGTACGGAACAAGTTCGATTTATTTCCCTCTCTTAAGGCACCACAATCTCCTCCATCGACTGGAAAGAGAAATAGATGTTACCTCAAGAAAGTTGTGCTATAAAGGTACCCGCACACCATCGATTTTTGTCTATTTAACTGTGTAAACAGTGCTCATACTAAGTCGGGTCATATTTAAAGCATATTTATATAAAATCAAAACACGTATTTGTCCCTTCAATTTTAAAATTCGTTGTTTGTGAACTGCAACTTATTTTCCAAATTAATTGTTAATGTGCTATAGATTGAAGTTGTCTTTATTAATGAAATGTTGCCTTTTGTTGTATGTATGTGGATGGGAACACAACTGTAGCTTGACTAAGTACCTTATTACACAAGCCCTAAAGTATCGATAGACTCAGAGACATATACGGAATTTTGAGACACCCCGGTATATGCCCATTCGAAATTCATGCGATAACGAAAAGGTAGGGGGCTAATCGTAGGTGCAGTGCGCGAAAATTGACACCTCCAGCGGCGCGGCCGCGTGTTTTATCGATTCATAAAAAGCGACACACACACACGCGGAGCCCGCCGTGTGTGTATCCGGGGTGGGGGGATATATACATGTCTTTCTTCGCGCTGCATTTTTGTTCCGCTACCATGAAATGTGGGCGAGCGTGTCGCCACTTTCAGCGATTTCAGGGAGCTCTATTATTGATTTTGTTGTTTATGATTGATGCGCACTCGGTAATGCGATATTTATTAATGTCTGTATCGGGTTACGCGGCTCCCGATCGGTGGCTCTCTGGATTTCTGCACCAGGTCGACCTGATAAACTTACGGGTCGAGCCGGATGGGGAAAAAAATACAGTACACCGGTAAAGATGTGGGAGAGAAATACCTAGATTCTGTATTAATCCACTGTTCCAGTTTGACATCCAGTGTTTTTATGTCCATTCATTGTTAAAGCTGTTTTATATTTACAATTTTTTTTTAGTAACTGAAGGTGTCTTTTTAAATATTACTTACTTTATTTTTGAAAAATAAAAATATACGTATGACTGGTAACGTGGCGGCCATTTTGAAACCTATTTTAGTCAATGCTAAGATGTCCTATATCTTTAAGAGGTAATTATACACAAACAGAGATATTGACGAAGTCATGTCAACAGGTGGTTCATTGGTCGATGTCCAGGTATCTAAATATAGCCGCAATGGGGGCAGAGAAGTTTATTTCCTGCCCAAAAACAGTTTTTTTTACGTAAAAACCACTACTTAGTTATGAAGAATATTCATACACACATCTCTAATGGAAAGTGGAAAAATATTTTCTAAATTTCGTAACACAAACATGAGAGGTTATACACATATCAAGGACCTTCTTGGAATGTTAAAAGAACAGATCGAATTCGACGATGGCCAACGCGTTAACGCCAAGGAAAACTTTTCCTTTTAATTGGTCATTTACGAGCTAGAGCTACAGCATTTCCTCGTTAGAGAGAAAGTGGGACGGGTATATATTTTAATGACGTTCTAATTAATAATACCTACTATTAAATTTATAGAAATCATGTAACACATTTAATTGCTTCTGGAAATAAAAAAATATATATCACAGTTATCACGGCCATTTTAGACCGATATTGCGTTTTGTTTTATGCAAGCGGAAGTTTTTTTCCTGTCAACTATCAGTCTATCGTCTTACGCTCAAGATGACGAGGTTAATTTTTCAACACGCCGAGCTTAGCGAAGCAAAATATCTATTCGAGAACGCAAAAGCATTTCGCGTTACAGAGATACAAACAATATTTTTTCGAAAACTGCAACAAAATAAGGCGATTGTGTTGTATACAACAATTTAATTTACATTTGAAATCGTTTGAACCGTGTTTGAATCAAGACGGTTTAGGTACGGTGACTGTCACAACGATAACAACCTAATAAACAATAAAAATTAGTTGTTTGTAAAAGTATTGTCAGAATTATGTACTGTAATTCATATTCTAAGAGTGTTTAATTTGAAATGAGCTCGGAAAGTGAAGACGAGCATTTACCCGGGGAAGTACTGGAAACGGCACAAGTTTCGAAAAAATGACAAATTATTTTGAGATTTGTTTTATGTTCAAGAACGAAAAAGACTTTGGCGTTCTAAAACATAAAAGTATTTTGCAGTTAGGTGACAAAAAATACTCACTTTGTCAACTGAAAATTTAACGAAAATGTCGACCTTTGAAAACAATTTTCCAAGTGTCATTGTCTGCATTTTTTTTTTGCAATCATAAAGAGTGAGCGCAAAAATCGCCCGTTTTTCACAATTCGCAGAGAACTAAAGAAAATAGATAAAATAGCTATTTATGATATACGTGTTAAAAGTAAGATTTTATTTTGTGAGTGAAGATGATTAAAAAACGAGCGTAGCGAGTTTTTTAACTTCACGAACAAAATAAAATCACTTTTAACAAGTATATCATACACTATTTTTTCTACAAAACTGTTAAAAGTGGGCTTTTTAATTGTCATTTTTGATGTTAAAAATGTCATTTTTTGACACGCGTGTTAAAAGTAAGTTACTTTTAACACTGTGTTAAAAGTAACTTACTTTTAACACGCGGGTCAAAAAATGACATTTTTAACATCAAAAATGACAATTAAAAAGCCCACTTTTAACAGTTTTGTAGAAAAATATGTTTTTGGTTTTAAATTACTCGTAAAAAAATAAGATGAGCATGGCTTTTTGAAAATTTTTAAGAATCGCCCCTATTTAGAGGCTGAAAAGACGCCCAAAATGAAGAATAAATATAAAAACTATTAGCATGTGAATTTTTCTATCGAATCATTCTTGATACAAAGAAAGATTTATTCTCATGACTGAAATAAGCATGTTGTTAGAAAATTTTACACCTGTCATTTTAAGCCAATTACATACTGTAATTTCGACAGTTGCCCATGGCAACCTTCAAATTTGTCACAATTTTTTTTCCTCCTAGGCAAACAAAATTAATAAATGGATTTTTTTTTTGACAGCTATCATATAATTCAAAAATCAGTACCTAACCAGAATTTTGCTTTGAAATGTTTTTATTTATTTTAAAATAGTAAATAGATACAAATAATTATTTACCAAATATTTGTTCCGAAATTTCTTCTATTAACGCTAAATGAAATTCTGGCTGGAACTCTTCTCTTCACAACGGAGAGTAACGAGGAGCATAATTATTACCTTTATTTTTCATTTCCATCAGATTATGTGTTTCATAAAATATGTATAGGTAATAATTTGATGAAATTTGGTTCTGCTGAGCCTTGGTTTTACGTAAAAAAGATGGGATATCTTCCCCCAAAATCGTTTGAATAGCTGCGAAAAGGTTTTCTTGATGCGGACTGATTCCAGTTTTTTTCAGTAAATATGGCAAATACTTTAAATTTTTTTGAGACGTAAGAATGTCTCCTATTTTGGTGCAAGAATTACATATACTATAAGGTTTTAAATTAGTTTTTTGGTTGGTCACTGCCATGATTTAATTGTAAACAATTAGAAGCTAGAGAAAATGACTGTCAATGTGACGTATAGCGAAGACGATT